ATTTAAAAAAAACTGTCTGCTATTGATCTTGCTGGTATTATGGTAGTGAGGTACAATGGAATGTGCGTCAGGATACCTGGGTTCAAATTTCAGCTTCACTGCTTACTAGCTGTGGGACCTTGGCCAAGTTATTTAATCTTCTTCTGTCCAAAGAGGGGAATAAGGCTGGCTGGTCCTGCTTGCCTCACAGGGGTTGTTAGGATCAAGTGAGGTAAGGGACATGAAAGGATTTTTGCTGTCAAAGTCCACTTTGCAAAAGTGAGGGGTTAGGGTGGCATCCAACCTAGTGCCCCCTCTTAGGAGGTGCTCACTAAATAGTTGCTGAATGTTCTGTCTTTGATGCTGAGGAAGAGTGGGCTTGATGAGATGGTTGGCAGAGACAGGGAGATGTGAGATGCCTTGCGTGAGAAAGGGGAGAGAATAGTGACTCCAGGTGGGGAACCAGAGGGAAATGGCATACAGATTTTAGCTCTGCCTCCCATCAGAGCCCAAGCCTCCTGCTTCTTGGCATGGCTGGTCAGGGGTAAGGTGTATCGGAACACTCTGACTTTAATGGCTCAATGCCCCCTCCCCCGCTGTCTTACCATCTGGTTTTTTACATGTCCACCTTATTTCTGTTAGGCCATAAATATGAGACAGTGCTGAGATAGTCAGAGGGACATTGACTTCGGTGGAAGTGATGAAAAGGCATTTTCCTATGTGATCATGTATGTCTGTGGTATGTTTGTGTTTCTGGGACTGAATGTGGGCACGTGCAAGAGTGTCTGTGTGGGAATGGCTGAAAGGGGCTGTGGAGGTCTCTGTGTACATCTGTGTGTAATCATTTGAATATTAGTACCTCTGTGTGTAATGACAGAGAGATAGACAGATAGAGACAAAGAGAGACAGAGAGATGGAGAGAGAATAGACATAAAAGTGTATTCCAGGGAAGGTGAAGCAAGGTCTGTGTGACAGTATGGATCTGGTGTAGGGGCTGTGTCAGTCTCTTGGTGTGTGCAAGGCTATGGATGTGCAAGGGTGGAGGTCTGAAGCTGTGGCTTTGTTGAGAGAAGCTCAGCCTCCTCTGTAGAGCCTTCCATCATTGCTCACTTCATGGACATGACTCCCATTGCAATCACCCTGGTGCCCTCTGCCTACCTCTGCCCTCTGCTGCCCCTCCCCCTCTCTGTACCACAAGCAGCAGGGTCAGAGCTGCACTCACTCGCCTTGTCCCTCTTGCTTTCCCTTATGAGTTCCCTTGGAATAGTCAGCATTCATGGGGACGAGCTTATACCTGTCCTGCTTTGACCAGGTTTCCAGAGAAGGGAAGCAGATGCTATTCTGACCCCTCCTCATCAGCCTTCCCCAAAAGCCATATCTTTGTTTTTTGTTCCAGTCAGTACTGATGTGTGAGGTCTGCAGGAAAAAAAAAAAGACTGATGGCTAAAACAAGGGGAAAGGGGAACCCTCAAAATAGGCTTATGGGATTGCCTGGAGAGCTGCCCACCCCCTATGCCTACAGGCTATGTTACTACCCCCATCCGAAGGTATATGCATCTACCTTGGCCCAGGGTTTTATCTGTGCCTCCTGGTGCCTACTAGGCTTCTGAGGGGGTAGCATGTTGTCCCGAACCCTGCTTGGTTCCGCTATACTCTTCCCAACATTCCCTTTGCAGTGGTATAGGAAATCTTATAAAGTGTGTCACTTCTTAATACCTGCCAAGGACCTGGGATCTTGTCCTTTCCACCTCCTCCTATTTTCTTGCCAGCACTACCCCTAGGCCTTGTGAGAGAATCCCAGTGGGCACTGTCTTCATTCTGGCCATGCCAACTACCTCCTTCCCCAATGCCTCTGCCATCTGTAGCCCTTCCTCCCCCTGCTGGGCAGATTTTGTTGAGGCTGGCACCGATTGGCAGGATGCCTTCTGTCTTGTCAAGAGCCCTCTTCCTTCCTGGGCACCATTCATCTGGGGGAGAGTTCCTAACTCTTGAGTGGATGTTGGTCTCCATAGAGCAGGGACTCTTAACTGTTTTTTGTTCCTTGGACCCTTTGGGTTCTGGGTATGAACCCCTTCTGAGAATAACGTCTTTAAATGCATGAAATAAAATGTATAGCATTACAAAAGAAACCAATTATGTTAAAATACAGTCAGCAAAATCTTTAAAAAAAAAAACCCATGTTCATGGACCCCAGGTTATGATTCCTTGCCATAGAGGATCCCCCAAACCTCTGAGAAGCTATATGTGCTTCCGAGTTTAAGGGTAATCCCTAACCATTAGCGAATAGCACCGCCGTTCTCTCCGTAGCCAGGCTCAAAACCAGGGAGTCATCTTTGATGGCCCCTCCTTCACATCTGTCTTCTGTTCACTTGTCAAATCCTGTCAGTTCTACTTCTGCTTCGTCCCTCCTCTCCCTTCTTGGTCCAAGCCTTCATTATCTCTCTGTGGACAGCTTCCTAATGGTGTTCTTTACTTCCAACTTCTCCCTGGGAGGAAAGAGCAGTGCTTTGCTCAAGACACCTTAGTGCATTTGAACGGGCCTGTGTCCCAGGGCTTAGCGCTATTGATGGTTGGGGCTTCAGAAGCCCTGGATTTGAGACCTAGCTCCTAGACTTATTAGCTATGTGACCTTGAGTAAGTCAATTAACCTCATGTATAAAATATGCATAGTAATACAGTCAGGCGTGTGTGTGTGTGTGTGTGTGTGTGTGTGTGTGTGTAAAGTGCTTTTTTTTTTCAATTGGAGGATGCAATCTACATGCAGAACAGCTTTAAAAGTCATGTGTTGAATTTATTACATACTTTTTTTAAAAAAAGTAAGTTATAGAGACAACTGGGTGGCACAGTGGATAGAGCTCCGACCTTGGAGTCAGGAGGACCTGAATTCAAATCTGGCCTCAGACACTTGACACTTACCAGCTGTGTGACCCTGGGCAAGTCATTTAACCCTGACTGCCTCACCAAAAAGCCCCCCCCAAAAGTAAGTTATATAAAATGGAGATTCAGAATTTCATTTTATGTTTTTTTTTAATATGGAGCTCACTTTTTGGAGTGTTAAATTTAGAATAAAAAATTAAATTTAACAAAAAATTTCAAGATGCTCTATGTTTTAAGGTATCGATGTCAGGAGAGGTAGTGGTATAGTTTAGAGGTTTCAAACAGGGCCCACAATACTACCTTGTATGGCTGGAACCAGATTAAAAGGTAATTGGGAAATAATTAACAAAATAAATTAAAATGTAATAGGACATAGATAATGTTATTATGTGTTTTTCTAAGTTACCAAGAAGCCCGAAGGGATTCTTATGTGTGGATCAATGACCTCCATTTCTATTAGAGTTTAACCACCCCTCTGACACATCCTGGCTGCGTGACCTGGGCTGCAAAGTAGGGTACCGATCTGCACTGGTAAAGGGCATTTCCTCATTCATTCCCTTTCCCAATGAAATCACAGATTTAGTCTAAAAAAAATTGTCTGTAGAATGGAACTCTTGCTGGGCCCTTTGCCAGAAATTGTTCTTCTGAGGGATTTTCTCTGTACTCCTGCAGTAAACCTGAGGTAGAGAAGGAGGACAAGGGTAGAGACAGGGGGTCAGGCCAGAGTTCCCATCCCTCAGCTCTCTTCACTAACTGGAACCCTGGGAGTTAAGATCTACTTTCTCTTCTCCTTCTCAATAACTACTCCTGAGTTAGTTCAGGCCCCCATTATCTCTTAATCTCCCTGCCTCTAGGCTTGTCCTCTTCAGTCCAGTCTAGGCAGTTTTCCTAATGATAAGGTCTGTCCATGTAACTCTCCTATGCGGATTGTTTGTCCTTCATTCTTGAAGCAGTGAGTCTCCATTCTCTCTCCTCTATTCCATCCAATGAGAGGGTCCTTATCTTTCAAGGCCAAGCTCAAATGCCGCCTCTTCCATGAAGCCTTCCCTGATCATCCCCATGGGGCAGAAGTGCTGTGTCTCCCCATTTATCCATTTTTACCACTCACCAAGCCCTTATTAGACAGTTAGTTGTCTGGACCTGGAGTCAGGAAGACTTGAGTTCTTAACCAGTCCTCTGACAAGATGGTGCTGGCTGTGTGACCCTGGACAAGTCACTTAGCTGACCTCAGCTTCCTTATCTGCAAAATGAGAATAGTAACATCTACCTCACAAAGTTGTATATGTCAAGTCAGAGAATGTATGTGTATATAGGGCTTTGTAAATATTAAAGTGCCGTATAAATGTTGTTAACTATTATTATTTCTATGCATCCTGCTTTGTACTCTAGTTAGGTGTCCGTATATCATCTCCTCTGCTAGGGGCAGTTAGAAGTAGATAGAGTGCTGGGCCTGGAGTCAGGAAGATCTGAGTGTAAATCCAGTCTGAGACACTTACTAACTGTGTGACCCTGGGCGAGTCACTTAACCTCTGTTTGTCTCAGTTTCCTCATCTGTAAAAAGGGGATACTACCTCCCAGGGTCCTTGTGAGGCTCCAATGAAATAATAATTAGAGAGTGCTTAGCTTTACAACTGGCACATAGTAATCGCTGTAGCAATGTTAGCTATTATTTTCCCATAAGCTCCTGTCATTCAGGGACTGTCCTATACATCTCTGCATCCCACTGAGCGCCCAGCATATGGCCTTGTCCAGAGTTAGTACTCAGCAGATTTTGCAGTTGAGTGAATGAATGAGTCTTGGGTGAATGGATGGGAGCTTGGATGGCTAAGTCCTACCAGCCCTGGGCCCTGCTCCTCCTCCTACTATGCCCCCTGGCCCTGAGCTACCTTGGAGCATCTCTGGCCTCCCCAAGGGTTCCTTTCTTTTCTGCCCAGGGCAGGTTGGCTTGCCAGGTCTCATGGCAAAGTACCAAGCATCCATCTTGAGGGATAGAGATGTCCGAGCAGTGTGTTTGCCTCTCCCCTCCGGGCCGGTGGGCCAAATGAGGCAGTCAGAAGTAGAGGCAGCCTTTCCCAGGGGTCCCCAGGGCTTCTCATCCTCCACCACAGCCCCCACATAACCCTCTTTTCTCTTATTTCTGTCAGCAGCCCAACTACTGGAGTTTTAAGGTCAGTGTGTCTGATATTTCCCGCTTCCATGATAATTGCATGTGCTTATTCCTCACCTCTTTCCCACTACACACATGTTCTGTGTGTGTGTGTGTGTGTGTGTGTGTGTCTGCACGGGCATCTCACAGGGGCAGGGGGCGGTGGGCCATGGGGACGCTGTTGCTTCTGCTGTTGCTTTTGTTGCTGGGGAGAACCTGGGCACCACCCCGTGACTTGTGAGGGATGGGGTGAAGGGCTAAATGGCACAGGGCATATTCAGAACCCAAATCTCCTCACTGTATAGTGGGTATTTTGGAATACAGTCTTACGCCCTGGAGAAGATCCTCCTGTTTTGTCTAAAGAAACATCCATCTTGGGGGACGGAAAGCACTCACTCAATTGAACCGTGGGCCTCTCTTCCTTATCTTCCAAAAGGGCCCTAGCCTGCTGGGGATGGAAGAGGCAGCCTTATCTTTGCAGTCACCAGCCTCTGTGCAGTCTCTGGGGCACCTAGATTTCCCCAGCCTCCTGGCCTAACTAGGCTAGGCATAAGTACTCTTCTTTCTATAATCCCACTGAGATGCTATTGGGTTAAAAATAAAACTTTACTAGGTAATTTGTTGGGGGTGGGGGAGGGCAAGAGAGGGAAGGAGGGATTGGATCTGTGATTTGCCGTAGTTGGGTATTCAGGAGAGAAAGTAACACCAGGCAAAATTAGACTCAAAGCTGAGATGGTCACGTCTGCAAAGGCAGAGAGTTCTTCATTCATAGGCAAGGGGAAAGCAAGATTGGAACAAGTCACTTCTGCTCATACTTATTAGACAAACTGCAGTTAAGCTGCCTCAAGGTCAGAAAAGCTCCCCTTCACCCCTTTCATTTCTTTTTTTTTTTTTAATGTGTATTGCTAGCTTTTATTTTGACATCTCACCTTCATTTCTGAATTATTCCCCTACCTCCTTCTCTACTTGGCAAGCCATCTCATGTAACAGAATAAAGCTAAGAGGGGGGCGGAAATGCAGTTCAGGAAAACCAACCAGCAACATCGACCACATAACATAACACCTCTTTCTAAGGCTACATCATTCACGCATCAGGCCTGGCCTGCATCCAGGTGTTCCACATACCCATTGAGGGTAAAGGGTGAGAGTCTTGTCTGGGGGAGGAAGGAGAAAGCACTCAGCAGGACAAAAGCCACTTCTTGACCACTTGGAGGCAGGGGCCTGGACCATATTCATTATGGTGAGGTTCGCTGTCTCCTCTACCTAGGTTGGCAAGAGACCTTGCTGTTACAAGAGACCTTTACCCCTTTTCCATTCTCATCCTGGTTGGCATTGCTGCCTACCACAGGACTCTGGACTATAGGATTATCTTGCCTGATTTGGGGTGTTTGGCAAGGATTAGGGTATCGTGATTGGAATTCAGGTTCTGTCCAGCTCTAGGGTGGCATGGGCTTGGGCACTTGCTTTATGGGCAGCTAGGTGGCACAGCGAATAGAACACAGGGCTTGGAATCAGAAAGACTCATCTTTCTGAGTTCAAATCTGGCCTCAGACACTTACTAGCTATGTGACCCTGGGCAAGTCATTTCACCCTGTTTGCTTCAGTTTCCTCATCTGCCAAATGAGCTGGAGAAGGAAATGGCAAACCACTTGGCCAAGAAAATCCCAAATGGGGTCATGATGTGTCAAACATGACTGAAATGACTGAACAACAAAAATCTTTGCTCTAGATCACCTGCCTTTGTGTGGTTCATGTCTACCTTCCTTCTCCATCTCCCCTAGCACTTGGAAACTGAGAGCATGAAAGCTTAGGGGTATTGTTCTCCATTATCACCTTAACTCTAACCAAGGCCTCTGAATTTCAGGTTATATCCCCAAAACAATGGCTGGGATTTCCCCTTTTCTCTCTCACCTCAGGTGGGAAGTCCTTCTAACATCCCACTTCCTTCTTCCTCACTCAAGGGATGGCAAGAGGGTGAAACGAAGTGCCCTTGGGGCACCTGGCCCACATGAGCATGCCAGGTCAGAGGAGGCAATGAGATAAGGAAGAGATTAAAGAGGACGCATCTTCCTGTAAGGTCATAAACCTGCCGAGGATGCTTAGCAGGACCATCCCTGCTCAGCTGGCTCCCTACCCGTACCCACTTCCCTACCCTTCTGCCCTCAGTGTCCTGTGCTCTGTGGTGCTCTCTCTGTTCCCTTGCCTGTCTCCAGATGCCTCCAGCTGCTTAAAATGCCTACCTGCTAGGCTTGGGTAACTGCTGCAGCTGGACGCTACACCAGACTCTTCATGTTTGCAAGCCTCCCTCCATCTGCCTTGAATTCCACAGCCCTTTGTCCTCTCTTGCCCAGCAACTACTGACCTTTTCAGTTGCCTGGCAACCCACACACAGGCACCATGCTGGCTAGGCCAGGCCAGGCTCCCTCTGCCACTGGAGGACTCCCAACCCTATTGGCCCCAGGGACTGGGTCTGAAGGGATGAGGGACATTGGGCAAAGACTAGAACTGGTGCTTCATACCTGTCTGCCATACTGGCACTCAGCTTCAGGGTCCCTGAAGCCTGATCTTAGCATGGTACCTGTGTCTCATGAGGGGGTGGACTTCCAGGCCCATCATTTGTTGGGGCTAGGAGTTGAGACTTTGAGTTCCTTCCTATGCTGGCTCTAGACAGGTTTATTCTCCCTGTCCAGTGCCACCCCCCCAAAAAAAAACAAAATAAAAGAGCCTATCCCCACATTTTATAAAGAGGCTGAGACCCAGAAAAGAGAGAGTGACTTGCCCAAAGTCATAAGAGAGGGAGTAACGGATCAGAGCAAGGCTTCCAAGCCAGTTTTTAACATCAGATCTGGTCCTCATTGTGATCCAGCAGAACTCCCCTCCCAACATTCACCAGGCATGGGCATGGCTTGTGGTGGCAGGTGCAAGGTGGGGAGAGGGCCTCTTGTTCAGCACAAGGATATGAGTATGCATGGGGTGGGAAGGTGGCTTCCATGGACTCCCATTTAAACCAGTCCTTAAACTGGGGACTGGAGGGTGGGGGGAGGAGGAGGAAGAGGAGAGGAAGAAGAGGGTGTGTGGTCTGGATGCAACTTTGACTTGGCAACCAGCCTTCTTCCCTCCTGCTCCAGCTCTGTGACATCAGCAGGTGCAGAATGCACCTCAAACCCCAAACCCTCTCCCCAGCTTTAACTAGGAGAAGTGATCTTCGTGGTGGCTTAATTAGTATCTGGAGCTAATGCTCCAATTTACAGGGCAGTTAATTTCCCCTCCTAATAGGTCCATTGTTGGTGTTTGTTTTAAGTTTAAAATAGCAGGGTGGCCACTTCTTCAGGTTTCAGTGATTTCTCTCCTGTCTCCAAGGGTCTCAGAGAATATTTCCCTCCTCCTAAAGCCCTTGCTTTCTACCCTCAAATCAAGTGTGGCTCAGACAGCTTAAGTCACTTTCTCAAGGCCACACAACTCATCAGGGATGGAGCTGGTTTGGGGATTTTTGGTGCTGATTAAAGAGGCCATCTTTGGTGTATTGGGGGCAGGTGGGTGAAGGACTGAGTATGAATTGAGTGGGGGCATTTGAGTAGTGGAAAGAAAGCTAAGTCAGAGGACCTGCGCTCAACTTCCACCTTTGACGCTTGCTGTGTGACCTTAGGAAAGTTGCTTAACTTCTCTGAGCCTCAGTATCCTCATCTGTAAAATGAGGGGTTTGCATCAGATGACCTCTGAGGGTCCCTTCCAGTTTGAGATCTATAAGCCGTATGCATTTGGAATTGGGGAGGAAGAACAGAATGGGGCAGGGAGAGCTGACTAAGGCTACTATTTTGTGTTCCACTCTCTCCTCTCCGTGCCCCAGACTCGAAGCTCCCGACACTCACAGGGTGCCCAGCCAGGGCTGGCAGACCAGGCAGCTAAGTTGTCCTTCGCCTCTGCTGAGTCACTAGAGACCATGTCGGAGGCTGAGCTGCCCCTCGGCTTCAGCAGGATGAATCGATTCCGCCAGAGCCTGCCCCTCTCTCGATCTACTAGTCAGACAAAGCTCCGTTCCCCAGGTACTTCCTTCCCCTGCCTCTGTTCCATTATATCTCTGCTCGTCCCTACCCTCAGCCCTTTTCCAGAGTCAGAGAGTGTTAAAGGTAGATGGGACACTATAAGTCCAACCTCAGCGAGGAGAAATGATTTGTCTAGGCACATAGTAAGTTACCTGCGAAGTCTAGTACCTTTTACCACTCAATACTTCCTCTGACCCTAGCCCCTCCTTTATTTTCTCTTCCCTCCCCTGGCTCCTCTTTCTCTAATTCCTCAGTCCCAGCTCCTCTCTCTCCATCCTTTTCTCTCTGCTGTAGTTCTCTTGGGACCCAGTTGGGAAGATGAATAGTTCGGGGGCACAAGGTCACCAGTGGTATCAGACCAGTGGTTGTATGGGATATCCATATTGCCCATTCAGGTTTCAGATGTCTCAGGATTCTCTCACAGCTACTCCCCAGGAGCTAGTGTTTAAATGCCTCAAAAGAGCACACAGTCTCATACAGTGTATATAGCCAGAGTCTAAACTTAGCTGCATCACCCTCCCCCTTTCCTCTTTGCTTCCTAGAAAGTTTTCCTTTAATGACTCCCCAGCTCTTTTCACAGCAGGCTGGGCTGGGAGGTGGGTCAGGGTCAGGGGCTGAGTGACTGATTCCCAGTATCTTGCACTTCCAAGGGGTGCTATTTCTGCAGTTTGGGGAAGAGACACGTCGGGTGCACATCACCCATGAGGTCAGCAGCCTGGACACTCTCCACGCCCTCATTGCCCACATGTTCCCACAGAAGCTCACCATGGGCATGCTCAAGTCACCCAATACGGCCATCCTCATCAAGGATGAGGCTCGAAACATCTTCTATGAGCTTGAGGATGTCCGGTAAGGGGGCAAGGGTTTGGGGGCAACATTCAGGCTCCAGGGACTGGTTTGCTTCTCTCCACTTAAAGGCAGAAGGTGCAAGGAATCCCTCCACCTCTTTCCCTCTGGAGGAGAGGGAGATAATGTGAAGACAAGTTCCCCTCTAGGATGTAAAGGCCTTCTTGGTGGGGATTATTTCATTCATTGTATTTGTAATGCCTGGCACATCAAACTGTGGATTATTTGATGAATTAATTAACTAATTGATGAATTAATTGATAGTGTCCTTGCACAGATCCTCCTCTGACTCTTGGGTTGAGGTGTCTGGACTCCTAGGTCCTTGTCCAGCCCCCTTCATTCCCATAAACCACCAATCCTTGTAATGAGATGGTGATGATGGCAACAACTCATGTTTATATAGTGCTCTCATATACTATTTGATTTGATCCTCACAAATTCTGTGAGGTAGGTGCTATTATTATCCCCATTTTATAGAATGAATCTCAAGGAGGTTGCTGCCAGTAAAAATTTTTAAGAGATAGAGTTTCTTGGTAAATTACAATCAATTTTATCAACCACTGCTAGCAAGCTGATTAACAAAAAGCGTTCATTTGTCCTCTTGACACCAAAGAAGCCTAATCTGTGAAGCATTCAATACTTTTAAAGCCTTTGGAAAAGGGAGTGCACCTGAGGGTGGAAATCAACTCTGATTGGTTAACAAGTACTGAGAGAATGGACATTATAATGAGAAGTGGCCTTATTCTAATGAGGGACTGGGAGACGTGACTCTGATCACTCAGTTTTGGTCAAAGAGACTTATCTATACCCATATCAGCCATCTAGGGTAATCTAGACAAAAGGGAGAATCCACATTTTTCCAGACTTGTCTGAGTGAAACAGACTGGGCTGGAATCCAACAATTCACCTAAAGTAAAATTTCTTTACCTTTTGAACAGATCTGAGTTTTCCCTATGTCAGTTCTACACTTCAAAGGCTGCCTGAATAACCTAGAGGGGGTGATTTCTGAATAAAGAAGTAGAAAAGGAGAAAATCTTGGTCCTAATTCAATAATTGATTATTAATACAAGAGAAAAATCGTTTCTCTTAATCCTGTTTCTCTCACTGGACTCAGTGAGGGGCACTCAGTCTATGTCTGTGTTTGGATATGGGGTCAGTGATGCCTTCATCTCTCCCCAGGGACATCCAAGACAGAAGTATTATCAAGATTTACAGGAAAGAACCGCTCTATTCTGCCTTTCCTGGCTCCCACCTCACTAATGGGGATCTTCGGGTAAGGACCTAGGGCCCTGAAGCTAGGGGAGGGCGGTGAAGAGGCATTTAGAGGGGCTCATGAGGCACCTGGGTGGCAGGTCATTGAAAAGAAGGAAGGAAACAAGCATTTGTGAAGGGCCTACTATGTGCAAGTATTATCTCATTTGATCCTCACAACAACCCTGAAATGTATTCCCATTTTGCAGTTGAGGAACTAAGGCAGTCAGAAATTAAGTGACTTTCCTAGGATTATACAGCTAGTAGATATCTAACGCTGAATTTGAATTTGGATCTTCCTGACTCCCAGCCTAGTGCTCAATCCACTGCACTACTTAGCTGCCCCTGAGACCTAGGCTGAGACCTAGTTTGGGAAAAACTGTATGGCAGAAACCTGGGGGGCCATATGTCTTGGAGGATAGAAGAGAGAGTTGCTTTTCATGGGGCTATGGGAGAAAGTGGACCCAACACCTGTTGCTGCCATACCGGCCCTCAGCTTTATGCATCTACCCTTCCTGACCCCTCTGGGGTCTTTTCTGAGGATACTCCATTTATCTCTTTGTTTTTCCATCTACTTTTCTACCAGTACTGAGCAGAAGAATTCCTTATGGGAATGGGGCTGAGGAAATAAGCCAAAATTGCGGGAGAGATTGAAGGCAGACAGCAGGAAGGATCTCTCCAAAGTCAGGGCACGTTATTCTCAATCTGATGGCATTTTCTCAGGCTTCCTCCTTGAAATAGCAGTAAGCTTTCAACACTGTTGACTGCCTTCTCCTGAGTATTTCTTTGACTTTGTTCCCTCTAAGTTGTCTTCCCGACTGCTGTTTCCCAGTTCCCTTTCTTAATCCATCCTCCTGCCCACTAACTGTGGGCATACCTCAAGGCTCCATCTGGAGCCTTCTTTCTTCTCTCTCAAAACTCTCTCTTGGGTCCCTTGGGTCCAATTATTATCTTTACAAAGACGAATCCCTACATCTATTTATCTAGACCCAGTCTCTCTGCTAACCTCCAGTCCCAGCTGCCTGTTGGACAGCTCCACCTGGAAGTCCTGTTGGCATCTCAAACTCAAGTCTGTCTGAAACTGGAGCTGAACTCATTATCCTCCCTCCCTTCCAGTCCCCCTCCCCCCACCTACCACTCAAGAATTCTGTTTCTTTTGAGGGTACCATAATCCTTTAAGTCACCCAGTGATGCAACCTCAGAGTTATCCCCAACTCTTTCTTCTTTTATCTCTGACAAACGGTGGCTAAGGCCTCTATTATATCTCTCACATTTATTCCCACATCTCCACTCACATGGTCATCACCCTAGTTCAGATCTTTATCACCTCTTACCTAAACTACTGCAATGATCTCTTGACTGGTATCATTGCTTCTAACCTTTCCCCTTTCCTCCCCACCCTCCATCTTCCACATAACTGTGAAAATAATATCCCTAAAGAAAAATTCCTGCTCAAAAAGCTTCAGAGGCTCCCTAGTGCTGCTTGGATGGAAGGCAAATTTCTCAGTCTGGAACTACCTGGATCCACCTTCCTGCCTTTTCCCATGACTCCCTGAATTCTACATTCCAGCCCCAGTGCCCGTTTACTGTCCCTGAGCCAACATTCTATCTTCCACCCCTTTGCCTTGCGTTCCCCATTTAATGCACTCCCACCTCTTAGAATCTGTATGTAGTTTTCTTTAAGGCTAAGCTCAACTGCCACCTCCTTTCTTGGTGCTCCTGGGCACTCTCTACCCCTGTAGGTGACTTTATATTTACTTTTTTTTTTTTGCCCATGCTGTTCCTTCCATTAGAATATAAGCTGCTTGAGGCCAGGGGCTTCTTCAGTTCTGTCTTTCTATTCCTAAAGCTTGGCTCAATGCTTTGCAAAGAATAATAACAATAACAATAATAGCTAGCATTTATATATTATATAATAATAACAATAACAATAATAGCTAGTACATATACTATGTACTAAGCACTTTATAAATATTATCTCATTTGATCCTCACAATAACCCTGGGAGAGGTAGGTGCTATTATTAGTTCCCATTTTACAGATGAAGAAACCAAGGCAAACAGAAGTTAAATGACTCGCCCAAGGTCACACAGTTAGTGTCAGATTTGAACTCAGGTCTTCTTTATCAGTACTATAGCCACTGTACCACTGAACTTCACAGGGTAAGCAAGTGATGAATGTTGAATTTTAAAACTGCATCTTAAAGAATGAGCTCAGTAATCATGGGTCTGAGGTGACGGGTAGCTCAGGTGTGAAACATAACATGGGGTATGGGGTTGGGTGTTCTGTCTCCCACAGAGAGAGATGGTCTATGCCTCCCGAGAGTCATCTCCTACCCGCCGCCTGAACAACCTCTCCCCGGCCCCCCACCTGTCTTCGGGTTCCCCACCTCCAGGCCTGCCCTCTGCCTCACCTTCCCGGTCTAGGCTCTCCTACGCAGGGGGCAGTGGGGGCCGCCCCCCATCCTATGCTGGCAGCCCCGTCCACCACTCAGAAAGGCTGGGGGGTGTGCCCCCTGCCCCAGGCGTCTCCCCCAGCCCCAGTGCCATCTTGGAGAGGCGGGACGTGAAACCCGATGAAGATCTGGCGGGCAAGGGAGGAGGGGTGATGTTAGTGAAAGGGGAGGGTCTCTATGCAGACCCCTACGGGCTGCTCCACGAGGGGCGCCTGAGCTTGGCCTCAGCTGGAGGGGACCCCTTCGCTTACCCCGGCGGGGGACTTTACAAACGGGGCTCAGTCCGATCCCTCAGCACGTATTCTGCTACTGCCCTACAATCTGACCTGGAGGATTCCCTATACAAAGCGGCCACTGGCAGCGCCGGGCCACTCTATGGGGACGGCTTTGGCTTCCGTCTGCCTCCTGCTTCTCCCCAGAAACTGGTGGATGTGGCAGCACCCCAGGGCGGCCCTCCCCCTCCCCACAGCCCTTATTCCGGGCCTCCTAGCCGTTCCTCTCCCGTCAGGCAGTCCTTCCGCAAGGACTCTGGCTCTTCATCCTCTGTTTTTGCTGAGAGCCCAGGGGGCAAGCCACGGGGTGGGGGGGGCTCTTCATCTTCTGGGGTGCCCCCATCAGAGCTTTTCCCAGGGCCTGGGGAGCGCCCGCTGGCAGGCTTTGGGCCTCCGGTGCCAGCCAAGGACACAGAGACCAGGTAAGGGGGACCTGGGGTGGGGCGTGGCTACTGGCCAGATCCTCCCCTGGGCTGAGTGGGTATTTTTTTTGGGGGGGGGGGGGGTTGTGCATTTGTGTGTAAGTGTATGTTAGTGTATGTGTGTAAGTCTGAGTGTATGAGTGTGTGCAAGGGAGGGAAGGTCAGGTGTACCCTGTGCTGAGCAGACCCCTGAGGGTCCTTTGGGAAGGGGCACTGGGGGCCCGCAGACAAGAGCAGAGGGTCTTTGTCTGAAAAGACAAAAAGAAATGAGGAAGAAGGGCCCCGTTTGGTCTAGAGCCTTTTGTGTTCTCCATCCCTGCCTCTCTCCAAAGGAGGCCTCAGCAGCAGAGACAAGGGGACAACTAGGCCCAAAGCTTCCCTTCCCTTTCTTTGTACCATCTCCCCCTTCCCAGCCCCACTGTGGGCCTGGGCATGGGATCTGATGAAAAGGAAAAACCAGCTGGTCAAAATGAATGGTTTATAGCTTGTCATTTAAAAAAAAAATTATTCAGGGTCATGAATAGAAAGAGGGGAGTTTGTTTGAAATAGAGACCCACCCCAGTGGTAAGGAGAAAGAGCAAGTCTGAGGTTTGTTTTTACTGGGAAGGGGGGATGGAAGTTTGGTCTCTAGAGCCCGGCTGGGGCTGGCTCTTCACTAGGGCCTTCCTTTCTACACTCTAGGGAGCGAATGGAAGCCATGGAGAAGCAGATTGCGAGTTTGACAGGCCTGGTGCAGAGTGCCCTTCTCCGAGGTTCAGAAGCTGAGACCCCCAGGTAAGATGCCCACCCTTACCTCCGTGCGGAGCTCGTGGGCTTCTTCTGCCAACCACTACCCTAGGCCCTCCCCTCATCCTTCTGCAGGACCTTAGGAAGTCCAGTACGAATCAAAAATAATTGATTAAGAACCTGCACTGTGCTAGGCACATGGAGACCAAATGATGAACAGCCCTTGTCCTCAAGGAGTTTACATTCTATTAAGGGGATAAGTATATAAATTATCATTTGAGGAGGGAGAAATTGTTACCTAGGTGATCAGGACCCCTCTGAGACTCTCCCATTGCCCTAGGTTCTGGGTACACTATGGGTGTTTGTCAGCGGCCACTCAATACCATAACTTACTATTCCCCCCCTCCCATCCTCCTGCCCTCTTCCCCGAGTAATGAGCTTCTTTTTGCCAGTCCATCAGAGGACATATTGGTTCAAAGCAAAAGATATTTAAACAAATGGTAAGGAAAGTCACTTTCCTTCGGTTTCCTTTTCTGTTAAAAATAAAAAGGACTGGGGGGTGGGGCGGGTAAGTCTGGATTGGATGGCCTGTCTGATCCCTCCCAGCTCTGACATTCTAAGGTTCTGTGAGTGGGATTTCCCCATTTAGAGCCGACCCTGTTCATCTGTTTCACAGTGAGAAGATCGAAGGTTCCAATGGGGCAGCGACACCTTCAGCACGTGAGTGCGCCCCTGTCCCTCTGGCCAGCCATTCCCAGGTTACCATCCCCACCTGAGGGAAATTTCTTGTGTTTGGCATATAGCCTTATCAGATGTCCCTGCAGGAAACATGCTCTCCTGGGCTCCCTGCTCCTTAGAAGGGCTTCATACTGCTGCCTCCGCTCCATCCAGCTCCACAGACTGATAATATAGGTGGAGGGCAGCCACAGGATTACAGAATTTAAGATCTGGAAGAGATTTTAAGGCAGGCATTATTATCTTGGGGCCCATGGACCCCCCCCAAGAGTCAGTTTCAGGGGGATTGAATAGAATTGGATTCCTCTGATTTTATTTTATGCCTTTAAAAAACATAATTCTGAAGGAGGCCCATAAACTTCCCTGGCCCAACTAAGGGGTCTATGGCACAAAAAACCATTTGGAACCCCTACTCTAGAGTCTACTGATGTAATGATACCAGCTCTGCTCTCATTTCATGGTGGTTCTTCAAAGTATTTTTGTTACATATTAAATATATTTTATATATTATTATATGATATTATATATACCATATTATATATAGTACTATTATATATTAAGCATAAATAAATATATAAAAATCTGAACAAAGGCAAGCAGCCTTAGGAAATCACTTCAAATAAAACCGTGCATTCCAAACTATTAATAATAAAAAGGATGACATGCTTGAACAGAATATTTAGAACTACAGGATGGGGAAGGGTCATGCAAACAGCACAGGCTGTGGGCCCAGCTCAGTCACTTCATTATGTGAGTTTGAGTGTTTTCACCTTTCTGGGCCTCAGTTTCCTCCTCTGTAAAAAGAGGCGGTTATACTCCATGATCTCGGAGGTCCCTTCTAGCTCTAACTTTCTGAAATAAGCTTTTTTGCTCTGAGTCCCCTTCTTGATCTGCCATTTCTTTCTCCAGTTCATTTTACAAATGAGGAAAATGAGGCAAATAGGATGAAGTGACTTGCCCAGGGTCACACAGCTAGTGGTTTGCCATTTCCTTCTCCAGCTCCTTTTACAGGTGAGGAAACTGAGGCCATCAGGATTAAGTGGCTTGCCCAGGGTCGCATAGAAAGAAAGTGTCTAAGGCCAGATTTGAACTCAGGAAGATGAGTCTTCTTGACTCCAAGTCTGGTACTCTGTCCACTGCAGTTGCCCTGTTTTTAATAGAAATGTGTTAAAAATAGTCATCTAGGTGACTAAGTGGGTAGAGCGCCAGACCTGGAATCAGGAAGACTTGAGTTCAAATCAGGCATCCTACTCTTCCTAGCTGTGTGATCCTGGACAAGTCACTTTGCCTCTTTTAGCCTCAGTTTCCTCATCTGTAAAATGCTAATAGTAACAGCACCTACCCTGCAGGGTTGTTGTGAGGATCAAATGAGATAAAAATTATGAAGTACTTAGCCCAGTGCCTGGCATATCATTAATAATATTATTATATAATAAATAATAATAATCAATAATAACTAAATTTTATTGTTAATAGTTAATAAAAATAATAAGAACCTCCTATGTGCAGAGTGCTATACTTGGCTCTGGAGCTCCGAAGATGACACAAGTCACAGTCTACCCTCAAGATGCTTCCCATCTAGCAGGGAGGTGTGACCTATGTAACCCCAGGTGGAGATGATTAAATGCAAGGGCAGGAGGCGGGGGAGGTTGCCCACCTTGAGTGTTTCTCCTAGACTCTCCCTTGTGCCAACCTGTCATCCTGCAGCTTGTGGGCTGGGCGGGCGGAGCAGTGGGGCCCCTCCGGTTCCAGCGCCTCCACCCCCTTCAGCCAGCAGCACCCCGGCAGGCCCCCCAACGGCCGTCACCCGTCTACACATGCAGCTGCACCTCCATGACCTACAGCACAACGCCAGTGACCTCCGCAACCAACTCCAGCAGCTGCGCAAAATGCAGGTAGGACGTCCCTAGTCCCTGGGACTCCTTGCTCAGGAAAAATTCTGGGTTCCTGAGCCCTCATTCCTGGCTTCAACATGCATTACTCTCTCTGACCAGGCCTCTCCTTCCTTCCTGATTAAGCAATAAATCTCCCTTCCTTCCCATCAGTTTCTGTCAGCCCAGAGCTAGGGCGGGCTTCCTGGTCCTATCTCTGGCCTGCTGCTCTTGGCAGATGGTTCTACCTGGCAGGAGCCAGGCACTGCTGTGTGTAGTTCCTGGTGAAGGAACCACTGCCTTTCAGGTGAGGATAATGCATAGAGACAGGCCAGGAGGAGGAGGGGGAAACTGCCATCTGGGCCATAGGACAAGATGCATAGCCTCCTACCTAAGAGGAGGCCAGGGGTCAGCGCCTAGGAATCCCTAACCGACGGCAGAACTGTCTGTGGTCTTCCACCTAGAACACTCGGCTCTCAGCTCATGGTGCTCTTTCCTCTGTGTCTGCATGCAGGCATTTAACCCTGCCCTTAGTCCACACTCCAATTTCTGAACCTCCATCTTTTATCCTCTTCATTGCTGATTTTGATCTTTTAGTGTCTAACACTGAGATGCACTACCCTACCCCTCCCTTTGCCTGTCACTGGCCTCCCCTTTCCTTCCTGACTCAGAGTCCCCTCTCCACATGCCACAGCTTTGTTCCCAAGTTCCTTCTGTCCGTATGCAAAGCTCCCCTTCCATATCCGTGGCCCAGAGTCCCTCCCTATATCGTTGACCCCAAGCCTCCTCTCCCCATTTTGCTGGAGCAGAGCCCTCCTGTCTCCAAATGCCTGGCCCAGAGCCCCTTCCTCCCTGCATCCGTAGCTTATCGTCTTCCTTCACACCCTTGACCAAGAGCACCTCCTCTTCTGTTCCTAGGACCTTTCATCTACTCTCTGTGACCCATAGTGCCCCTCTCCATATATTTGAGCCAGAGTCCCTCCTCCCTCATCCCTGGCACAGAACCTTCCACCATTCCCCATCCCTGACTTAGAGTACCTTTCTCTACCTCCCTAACTACCCCCACACCTCTGACCCAGAGTCCCCCACCCCCACACCTCTGACCCTCGGTCTCCCAGCCCCACATCCCAGACCCAGAGTCTCCCTCAGCACATCCTTGACCCACAGTCTCTCCTCTGTCCCTGACAATCATGTGGGTCACACCTCCAGCATGGCCCTGCTCAGGTTCCTCTTCCCATTCTGTCTCCTCTCTCATGTCCTTCCTGTCTCCCTACAGCTGCAAAATCAGGAATCTGTTCGAGCCTTGCTGAAGCGCACAGAGGCCGAGCTGAGCCTTCGGGTGTCAGAAGCGGTGCGGAAGCAGGAGGACCCCCTGCAGCGGCAGCGTACCCTGGTGGAGGAGGAGAGGCTGCGCTATCTGAGCGAGGAGGAGCTGGTCACCCAGCAGCTCAAGTGAGGGGGCCTTCCTTCGGAGGGGCCGGAGGAGAGAGGCTGGCTTTGCTTCATAGTTTTCCTGGCCCAGGAGAATTGCTTCCTTCTGGCCAGAGTCATAGTTGGCATAGGCACAGGAGGCAGGTGACTAAAGCAGCTAGACTCAGTTGGTTAGAGCACTGGACTTGGAGTCAAGAAGACCTGAGTTCAGATCTGGCCTCAGACCCTTAATGGCTGAGTGACCATGGGCAAATCACTTCACCTCTGTTTACCTCAGTTTCCTCTACTGTAGAATGGGGCTAATAATAGCAACTACTTCCCAGGTTGGTTATGAGGATCAAATGAGATAATATTTGTAAAGTGCTTAGTACAGTGCTTGGCATATGGTAGTCATTTCATAAATGCCAAGTATTATTATTATTATTATCATTATCATCATATCACTGTTATTATTATTATTATAGCATAGCCCAAAGGAGGAAGGAGGGGTGCTATAAGTATGCTGGTATGTATGAGACCTTTCTGTCTGTCTCTAATCTCCTTGGGGTATCTACCTGTCATTGGAATCTCTTGGAATCATTGGAATTTGACCTAGAGTCTAGGTCAAAGGATGTGAAACAGTGTGTGGTATGGTAGAAAAGAGTTTGGAGTCAGAGGACCGGGCTGAGATCTTACTTCTGATGCTTAATTAAACCTGTGTGACCTTGGTCAAGTCTCTTAACCTCCCTTCACCTTAGTCCCCTCAGTTATAAAATGAGAGCATTGGATTAGATGTCCTCCGAGGCCCCTTCTGCCTCTAGACGTATGAGCCCATGAGTGATGAGAGATACTTCTGAAACTCCCTTTTTCCAAATGACAACAATAATTTGTGTTTCTACAATGCTTTAAGGTTTGCAAGTCACTTGTTCATAGCAAGCCTTCAAGGTATTGAGTGTGAGGATCATCATCTCCATTTAACAGATGAGAAAAACTGAGGCTCAGACACCTCAAGGCACTTGCCTACAATCACCCAGCTAATAAGTAGCGGCATGGTCAATTCGGTCAACTAGCATTTATTAAGTGCTTGCTGTATGCCAAGGTCTGTGCTAAGTACTGGGGATACTGAGAAAGGCAAAAAATGAGGTCTCTGCTTTCCAGGAGTGTACATTTCAACGGGGGTGGGAGGTGGGAGAAGCAACATATATACAAATAACTGTGTGCATACAAAATCTAGTCAATGAAAATGGAAAGTAATCTTAAAGGGAAGGAGAGGAGGGAGGCAGGGAAAGGCCTCTTGCAGAAGGTGGGACTTGAAAGAAGCCAGGGAAGCTAAGCCAGGCATAGGGGACAGCCAGGACAAAGACATGGAGTCGGGAGATGGAGTAAACCTCAGGGCTGCTGATGGCAAATCCAGTGCCCTTCTCATTATGCCACTCAGCAGCTCATTTTTAATATAATTTCATTGTCTAGAGAATTCGAGCATTTCTTTTGTCTTTGGTCAAGTCACATGTGATAAGAAGAAGGCTTCAGTGCTTCCAGTAGACTGGCAGAAATGCAGGGGCTACAGTTTTCCTAACTTGCCTGCGTCTCAGCCCCACTTTTGGCCCGCAACCTGGTTTTTCTTCTGGCCAGTGACCAGTGTAAAGGGTTGTTGGGGCCAAAGACACTCTGGTTGTTGTAGCTAGCTGGCTCTCCCTCTCCCTGAGTTGGGGGTGTTCCCAAGACTAGCTGGTACTTTGGGCAGTTGCCCCTGCCATATCAAACATGGCCATTAGGGGCAGAGTGATTCCCTGTTCTCTACTTATTGAAGTATGGAAAACCCTCTTCTTTCATCTTGCTGAGCCAGGGATGAAGTTTTCAGAAGTATTTTTTTTTTCAACGAGGGAACAAAGTATGTTCATGTTGGGGGAGAGGTGGAGGAAAGGGTCTGGAAATCCACAGGAGTATAGAAATGGATGAATTTCTGATCCAAATCTAATGAAAAAAATCAGTCTTTTATTAGTCTAACTTAGCAATCAATCAGTAAACATTTATTAAGCACTTACTATGTGCTAGGCACCACCATCCTACTCCCCTGTTCCTTTCTCCCCAACCATGGGTGGTACTGATGAATGCTTACCAATCCACTCTTTGAAAATACATGACACACTTTTCAGTTTAATTTGCATTATCAACATTTTCCCTGTCACTTTCTTAAGCCTATATAATCAACAAAATGATAAATCAAGTCCTGATTTGTAGCATTTGCAGATTTCTAAGGAAGGTGAAAATTAACAATCACCTTCCGCTAGAATCAATACACCCTGACCCCCAAAATCCTTCCTGGGAGGGAGAAGGAAGTTCTAGGTTGAAATCTCAGTTCTGCTCCTTACTAACTGTGACTGTGATTAAGTCATTTAACCTGTATGCCTCAGTTTTCTCATGTGTTGAGTTTCCTGGCCTCAATATTTCCCCATGCCATATTAAAAGGAAAACATTTCTCCAGCAGGTTCTTCCCCTCTCCTCATAATATTCTTCTCTTTCAGTGGCCCCAGGGTGGGACTCCCCAGCCTTCTTCCAGCTGCCCCCCCCATTCCTTCTAGCCAGGGTTTCTCTTTCCCTGGCCTGTTCCCTGGCAGTCACCCAGCCTCTCCTCAAGCCTCTTGTCCCTGAAGGAAGCACAGCCCTCTGGGAGTTTCCTGAGGCTTTCTGCTGCCAGCAATCATTGGGACACAGGCAGGGGTAAAAATAACAAGCATGGGGAGTTACAAAACTCTTACATTCTCAAGGCTCCCAGGATAAGAGTGTTCACTGGTGTTCTTGGGGATATCAATGGAATACCCTTCTCTAAAGTGCGCCATCTTCTTTGTTCTCATGACCCCCACCCCACTACATACCTTTTCTGTCCCTTTTATTCCGTGAACTATTGATCTATAGTTGCCCTCCCCTTCAGTGAGGAAGGCGCCTAGATTCCTCTTTACCTCTTTATTCTGTAACTCTCTCAAAGAAGTGGACCTCAGTTCCCCTCTGTTAAGTACAGATAATTATACCTGCCTCCCTCATAAACTGGTTTCGAGGATCAAGGTCACATCATGTGGGTGGGTGTAGATTGCAAGCTGTCAAACATTTACTGATGTAAAATCTCTATGTATCAGAGGAATACTTGGACTCAGTTTCTATTCCTCAAGTTCTGTCCTTCCTTCCTTGTACACAAAGGGCTCTCTTAGGGTTTCTTCATTAGAATCCTGCCCTGAAGCCCACTTTTTTTTTAAGTCCTTGAATGTTTCTCTGATGCCCCTCCCTATTTCCTCCTTTAACCGATTCTCCAGGAAAAGGGTGGGCCCAATCAGAACCTAGGTTGGGGCCTTGCTAACTAGAAGAGGCCAGACAATAGTCACTCCGAAAATAGTGAGTCACTGCTTTCCTAATTTAATACAACTAATGTTTGTCAAGCACTTACTGTTGTATGAAGTGGCAGCCAGCTGACTCAGTGGATAGAGCCCTGGAGTCAGGAGGACCTGAGTTCAAATATGTCCTCAGACACTTACCACCTGTATGACCCTCGGCAAGTCACTTCATACTGTTTGCCTCAGTTTCCTCAACTGTAAAATGAGCTGGAGAAGGAAATGGCAAACCACTCCAGTATCTTTGCCAAGAAAACCCCAAAATGGGATGCGGTTGAAGCATCTAAACAACAGCAACAACAAATTGTGTGAAGCATCATGCTTGGTGCTGAGCACAAACACAAGACTATAATTCCTGGGGCAGCTAGGTGGCTCAGTGGGTAGAACATCAGCACTGGAGTCAGGAGGACCTGAGTTCAAATCCGGCCTCAGACCAAACACTTGACACTTACTAGCTGTGTGACCCTGGGCAAGTCACTTAACCCCAATTGCCTAAAAATAAAAAAAATTATTTTCTCCATATGGCTTGCTTTGTTTATATTTGTTTGCATGTTGTCTCTTTTGTTAGATTGTAAGCAGCTTGAGGACAGGGATTGTCTTTTGCCCCTTTTTGTATGCCCAGCCCTTGGTACAGTGCCTGGCACATAGTAGGTACTTCATAAGTGTTTATTGATTGATGTTTTATAATTATATATTGATAGCACTCATTAATAATAGCTGGAATTTATATAGTACCTTCAAGTTTACAAAGTAAACTTTATTATATTATATTAATTATATTTGTTCATGATCTGATTTGCTGGTGGTGGCATCACCACCACCATATCTAATTATTATTAATAGCTAGAATTTATAAGGTACTGTCAAGCTTGCAAAGCTCTTTATATACCTAATTTCATTTGAGGTATTTCCATATCTCATAGAAGTATCAGATCTGTAAGGAACTGGAGATATTTAGCCTGAAGAAGACTTAGGGAAGCATATGATCTCTTGTTTCAAATATTGATAGGACAGACTATGGTCTGAAGCAAGGATTAGCTTTTATTTTTAAAAAATTCTCTTGCATTAAATAGTATTTTATTTTTTCCCACAATTACAAAGCAAGAAAATTTTTAGCATTCATTTTTATGAATTTTTTTTCCCTCCTTCCCTCCCCTCCCTTCTTTTGAAAATGGTTAGGCAGTTTGATAAAGTTTATGCATATGCTATCATGTAAAACATAACAGATCAAAAATTTAAAAAAAAACCATGAGAAAGAATAAAGTGAAAAAAATGTGCTTTGATCTGCAGTCAGAGTCCATCAGTTCTTTATCTGGATATGAATAGCATTTTTCTTTGTGAGTCCTTTGTACTTGTCTCCGATCATTGTGCTGCTGAGAAAAGCTGAGTATTCACAGCTGATCTTCACATTATGTTGCTGATACTTTGTACAGTGTTTTCCTGGTTCTGCTCATTTCACTTTGTATCAGTCTATACAAGGTTTTCCTTTACTCTGTGTGGGTTTCCCTGCTTCAATTGTGTTTCTTGTAAGCAACATGTTGTAGGATACTGGTTTTTGTTCTACTCTGCAATCTGCTTCTGTATTATGGGAGAGTTCAAGGAATTAGCTTTTCTCTTTGGCTCCAGGAGGCTGGACTGGGAGTAATTTATAGAATTTTCAAAGAGACACATTTCAGCTTCACATAAGGAAGAATGTCCTAAGAATTAATCATAATAGTAGCTAACATCTATATAGCACTTACTATGTGCCAGTCACTATGCTAAGTGCTTTACAATTATTATCTCATTTGATCCTCACAGCAACCCTGGGAGGTAGTTGCTATTATTTCTTGATTTTACAGATGAAGAAACTGGGGCAAGAAAAGGTTAAGTGACTTGCCCAAGGTCAGTCACCTGGTAAGTGTCTAGGATTGGATTTGAACTCAGGTCTTCCTGACTCTGGTCTAAATGGAATAGACTGTCTTATGAGGTAATATGCTTCCTTTTGCTGGAAGTGTTCAAGAAGAGACAGTCTGTCAAAGAACATATACTTAAAGCTGGAAGTGACCTCAGATCCAACCCCCTCGTTTTACAGATGAGATAATAGAGGGTAAGAGAATGGAAGTGACCTGCCCAAGGTCACATAAGTAGTTAACTGCAGAACCGGGATTTGAACTCAGATCCTCTGACTCAAAATCTAGCACTCTTTCCAATATACCATGCTGTATAATAATAATACTACTAATAACAGTAATTCCTAATTCTTGTGCCAAGCTGGATTGGATGACTTCTAAGGTTCTCTCCAACTTGAACTTCTGTGACTTGGTTCCTACCCTTATTTCCTTCTGATTTTGAACGGCCTTGTCTGACTTTTTTCTGCCTTGTGTCTTGTGCTAGATCCTGGGCTATCCAGGGAGATGAAGGAAGGGGTAGGCCTGGGCTGGGGGTGGAGGGTCCTGAGCGGTGGTGTCTTCCTTGGCTGCAGCGACCTGGAGAAGTCAGTGGAGAAGATCCAGAAGGAGGTGTCCCACAACCATCGGCTAGTCCCGGGTCCTGAGTTGGAGGAGAAGGCCTTGGTGCTGAAACAGCTGGGGGAGACCCTCACGGAGCTCAAGTGTGAGTGGCCCTGGCCTAGGGACTTAGTGGAGGGATGAAAGCAGGGAGAAGGGGTTGGATAGAGGATCTCTAAGATTTGGTGATTCTCTGTGGCCTGGCCCAGGATAGGGGGCAGCGCTGCTCTTACCTACTCAGTCTCACTCCCCCTTCCTTCATTGCACAGTCCCCCCTTCCCTCCATCCTTGGTGTCTAGGCATCACTTTAGTGGACTGGAAGCTCAATATGAATCCACAGTGTGACCTAGAGCCCCCAAAGGCTAGGTAGTGTGATCTCAGGGCAGCTAGGTGGCACCATAGTGCACAGAGGGCCAGGCAAGAAGACCTGAGTTCAAATTCGGCCTCAGATACTTACTGTGTGACCCTGGCCAAGTCACTTAACCCTGTCTGCCTCAGTTTCCTCTTCTGTAAAATGAGCTGGAGAAAGAAATGGCAAACCACTCAATTATATTTGCCCAAAAAAAACCCACTTAAAATGGGTCAAAACAAAATGTGACAGAAGGACTCCTTAATAAATAGAGCTAAAAGTGTCTCCCTAGAGAGGTGGTTGAGTTCCTTTTCACTGGAGGTCTTCACTGGAGTCTGAAATGTTGTAGCAGCATTGCCTGTTCAAGTACAGATTGGCCCAGATGGTCTGTGAGCTATGGGGACTCTCCCCTTCCGATGTGTACTGCATTCACTTTCCTTGTTTCCCTCCCTCTCTCTCCCCCCAGCACAATTCCCTGGGCTGCAGAGTAAGATGCGAGTGGTTCTCCGGGTAGAAGTAGAGGCAGTAAAGTTCCTGAAGGAGGAGCCACAGAGACTGGACGGGCTTCTTAAGCGCTGTCGAGGGGTCACTGATACACTGGCTCAGATCCGAAGGTCAGCATGACCTCCCACCCCCTTCCCCAGGAGTCACTGTCATACCAGCTCAGATACCCCTGATCTTGGGACTCCCCCCTCCCATGGAGTCATTCTGGCCCCAAATCTGAAATCATGCCCAGCTTACCCTCTCTATACATTCTACCTGCTAGCTCCCTCGCCCCAAGACTCTTCTGTGTGGCCTAGAGATGTCCCATCTGAGCCTAGTCGCTCCTCTTTGCATCCCTCCTGACCCCCCTCTCCAGCTCTGGTGAGCTCAGAGTTCCTCTCACATGCCCACCACCAGAGGACATGAAAGACCTGGGGAGGACAGACAGGGACTGCCCACCTCACTTCCCTTACTCCAAGGGCCTCACAGCTACCTGTCTCCCCAGGCAAGTGGATGAGGGTACATGGCCGCCTCCAAACAACCTCCTGAGCCAGTCTCCAAAGAAGGTGACAGCTGAGTGTGACTTTGGCAAAAGCCTGGACTTCGAGATGCCACCCCCCAGTCCTCCCCTGAGCCTCCATGAGCTGGGGGGGCCAGGCGAGGGCACTGTTCACACACCCAAGGGGGCCAATCCCTCCAGAGGCCCTGAAACACCCAGCAAGAGAAGCGTGGACAAGGCTGTGTCTGTGGAGGTGCTTGGGCTGTCGGGGACGCACATGTCTGGGTTCCTGCCCCTTCTTGGTCCAGGGTTGGGGTGGGGATTGAGGGATGGCGGGATGGCCCAGTGTGGAGACTGGTTTGGAAAAAATAGCTGGATGTGTGGAAATTTACTACAGCTTCCCAAGTGGGAATCTGAGTGTCTCCTGTCCCTGAGATGGACCTTTTTCACCTTTTTAAAAAAATCCTAGGGCAGCTGGCTGGTGCAGTGGATAGAGCACCGGCCCTGAAGTCGGGAGGACCTGAGTTCAAATCTGGCCTCAGACCAAACACTTGACACTTACTAGCTGTGTGACCTTGGGCACGTCACTTAACCCTGATTGCCTCACTAAAAAAAATAAATAAATAAAATTAAATAAAAAAAATCCCCATTATTAGCACAGTGCCTGGCACATAGCACATACTTGTTGATTAACTGACTAATGAAGCCTCCAGGGTTTCCTTAAACACTTTGCAAAGTATAAAATGGTTGGGTCCCCCTAAGTTCTTGAACCTGATACCTTTTTTGGGGGATAGCAAAGATGTTTCTTTGAGCCTCCCATTCTATCCCTGCTATTTCCTAGGGATGGGATGGGACAGGAAGAAGCAGGGGTGGTAGAAGAAAGTGAGGCAGGGCGAGGGTTCCAGCTCTGAGTTGTGTCTCCTCACCAGCTTTCCCCTTCCTTCCCTCAGGCAGCTGAGAGGGACTGGGAGGAGAAGAGGGCAGCCCTGAGCCAGTACAGTGCCAAGGACATCAACCGGCTGCTGGAAGAGACCCAGGCCGAACTGCTGAAGGCCATCCCAGACCTGGATTGTGTGGGAAAGCCTCGGGGGCCAGCCCCCACCCCTGAGCACAAGCCCTCCAAAGCTCCCCATGGCCAGAAGGCAGCCCCCCGTGGAGAGGCCAGTGGGCGAAGGGGCTCAGGTAGAGGAGGCCCAGACCAAGCACTAGGCAGTGGTATATCAGAGGTATAGCAGGGAGTCCCTGCTCTGTCCTCAGGGAGCTGCCAGTCTGATGAAAGAGGCACAGTTTCTGCCCTGTGGAATGAGAGGGACCAGTGTTATATCTATCGTGGAAAAGAAAAAGCAGAATGATTAGGTCCTGAGCTGCAAATGGCATCAGGACTTGCTACTTTTCTTGGGATCGGGCCAAGGGAACAAGGCCCTGGACTCCCTTTTGGAATGGCATGAGTGTCCTCACAGCTCCCAGGTGAGTGTTCTGATGGACTCCCTTCCCTTTCTGTCTCTAGATGAGTTGACCGTGCCCCGATACCGAACAGAAAAGCCTTCTAAGTCACCCCCGCCACCCCCTCCCCGACGAAGCTTCCCCTCCTCCCACGGCCTCACCACCACCCGCACTGGAGAGGTCGTGGTCACCAGCAAGAAAGACTCAGCCTTCATCAAGGTACACTTCCATCCACCACTACCAGGCAGGGCCATCCTTCAGCTGAGGACCGGTAGCATGCAGCCGGGAGGGAGGGTGCACTTTAGGCACGTTGAAACCCTCTGACTAAGGAAGGGTGAAAGGGTGTGAGGGGTGAAAGCTGGGTCCTGTCTGGAGGCAGCAGGGTGCTCAAGATGACTTTTTTTGATCCTTCCAGATGTAGAAGGAGAATCCTTCCTAGAATGGAACAAAGGGAGAAACTGGGGAAGGGGGATGTTGAGGAACTTGGTGAGGCTGGGATAGGGAAAGTGAAAGGAATGTTTAATACCATTCATTGGGCAGCTAGGTGGCGCCATACTGCACAGAGCGCCAGGCCTAGAGTTAGGAAGACTCATCTTTGTGAGTTCAAATCCAGCTTCAGACACCTACTAGCTGTGTGACCCTGGGCAAGTCACTTAACCCTGCTTGCCTCAGTTTTCTCATCTGTAAAATGAGTTAGAGAAGGAAAAGGCAAAACACTCCAGTATCTCTGCCAAGAAAACCCCAAATGGGGTCACAAAGAGTTGGACAAAATAACAACAAAAGTGTATTTTAGGACAAGGAGTGGATAGACCCTTGCTCAGTTCTTTAAACTCTAAGACATTATCTTAGGGAGAGAATTTGTATGAGGTATAGGGGATGAGAGGAAAGGCAAATAGCGTGACAGAGAAATTGGGTCTGAGGTCGGGGGTAAAGGTGCTGATATCGGGTTTGCTTACTCCACTTGGGGTCACTTACAGAAGGCAGAGTCAGAGGAGTTGGAAGTCCAGAAGCCCCAAGTGAAGCTGCGCCGGACAGTGTCTGAGGTGGCTCGTCCAGCCTCCACGCCGCCCATCATGGCGTCAGCCATCAAAGATGAAGACGATGAGGACCGAATCATCGCAGAGCTGGAGGTGTGTGACAGGGGTCAGCCCGGGCTCCAGGCTCCGGGCTCCGGGCTCTGGGCTCCTGGCACAACAGCTCCTTCCCTCTTCCATGCCCAGGGAAAGAAGACAGGGCCTGAGGCCGAGAGGAGCCAAACTCCTGGCTTTTGTTACCGGCTCTGCCCCCAAGTCTCTGGGCTAGCTATGAGCTAACAGTTTCCTCCTCTTTGCCTCAGTTTCCCCCCCCACCCCATAAGATGTGAGGAGGAACTCTGATTTACTTCCTCACATGACTGAGGTTGATAGGAAATGTCTTTCATATTCTCTTCTTCAAGCACTTTGGGATTTCTATAGCCAAGCACTTAGAGATCTCTCATACCTAAAAGCTCTGAGATTGAAGAAAGAGAATAGCTCTTGGGGTTATGCTGTGTCCTCCGTAAGGGAAGGAGACAGGAGGGAGATGCAGAGAGCTTCTTTCTTAAGCAGCCCTGCTAACTCGAGTTAGCGCATGCGTGGTTCTTCCCTCGCCTCCCTGAGCAAGGCTACAGACCTGAATCAGTGTCCCCCATCCTCCTTGGGGGTCCCTGACCAAAGGCAGCTGAACGGACCCCCCTGCCCCGAAGTTTTGATCCTCCCCTCCAAACCCACCCCCAACCTTCTGCCTCCTCAGGTGTTTGAAAGAAGTTCCATGCCCCTCCCAGCCTCGCTCTCCCCCCAGGAACCTGGGCCCCTTGGGCCCACCCCGGGCCCCCCACGGAAGGTAACCAGCCTGAGTCTCTTTTCAACTGCTGTTTCTCTGCCTGTCCCTTCATAGCTCCCTCTGCCGCCGCTGCCTCTTTTCACGCTAATACTCTAACACGCTAACATGCTGCTCACCTGCTCACGGTCTCCTTCGAGCTCTCAGTCACTTACCGGGAATGACACTTCTGGACTCTTAACCTTTCCTTGACAGCCTCTTCCCCTCCCCCAGGGGAGCCTGTGGCTCCCCAGTCCCAGCAGGAATTCCTCAGCCTGAGCCCCTGGGCAGCGATCTGCCTTTTGGGCCCTGCCTGTGCGTGGTCTGGCCCGCCACCTCTGCCGCTCTGGGGCCTGACCCTGGGTAGGGACCCTGTGTCTCTGGTCTGTGTCTTCTCTCCTGCTTTGTTTTCTCTGTAATTGGGGGATGGGACTTGGCCTCTTCTTCCCTCTTTGGCCTCATCTCACTCACTTGGGTCCAAGGAGACCACATCTACCTTTGAGACATTCAACTCCCTCATCTGTAAATCCGTGTTCCTGGGAGATCCCACAGCTTCCCTTAGCCTCTGGGCCTGTCATCTCTTAGCATCTGGAAGTCTTTCCTTCTCTCTAAGCTTGATCCCTACTGCTACCTGACTTCCATTCCTTTTCTCTGGCTTCTGTCCTCTTGGGGATCCCGGGATGGTTCTGCCACGGGAGGATACTGTTGGTAGAAGAGGGTGACAGAGCCTGGGGAACTTGGGGAAGGTCTACTCCAGGATTAGGGGGAGGGGGCAGTGCTTCCTGGCCTCATTTCATTCCAGGCCATAGTCTGATTTCCATTCTGGCTGGAAGCTGTCTTGTAATTCCTTCCCAAGGGACAGGTGCCTCAGTGAGGAGAGGGGAGCTCTCAGTTTCCCATTAGCAGAAAGTCATTCTCGGGATGCCCAGGGTTCGAGAGACCACAGGGCCTGGTAGTGGGGGAGATGTTGCCCCTGAAGCTGGGCAATGAGCCAACCTTATGGGAGCAGCAGCAACTTGGCCTGTCTCGGTGGGCATGGCTCCCTGCTCCTTCTGGGTTTGGGAGGCTGGTCTCACAGCCTCTCCCTCTGCCCTCAGCACCAGAGGTAATCTTATATACACAGCCTGCAACACACACACACACACACACACACACACACGTGTGTGTGGAGGCAGAGCACCAGACCAGATGGGCCCAGCTAACTACTTTGCATCCTGCATTGCACCATCAGAAGGTGGAACCACTTGGGTGTGGTGCCAACTTGAATATCCTCACCCAAAGCCTCCTCAGAGGCTTCACCCCTCCCAGCAGCAGGTAAGTACACAGCTCAGGCAGGGGGTAGGGTTTTGGGGAAGGGGTTTCTGGTACCTCTCTTTATACCTTTCTGGTGCCATCTCCAAGTGGCAGGGAGTTTCTCTCTTCACTGACCACTCCAGACAGAGGTTAGTACTAGTCTTGGGATTATGGACTCCCTGGTGTTGGTGGAAGTGGAGCTGGGCATAGGCTGAGCCTGCCCTTGGCTGACTTTGGGAAACCCCCAGAAAGAACTGAGAGAGGTGGGATTGGCAGGATGGCTCAGAGCACCCCTGTGGGGGGGTTCTTCATTCACTCTTTTTCCTTATGTCTCTTCTCCCTCCAGAATGCCCCACTCCCCAGAAGTTTCTGTATCCCCCAGATCATCCTAACTGAATGTGCTTCTGACCCACCTTCATCTCCAGAGGTTATGCCCGAAGAGACAGGCACAAGGATAATGCCCATCCCACTGCCCTGGGCATTAGTGACTGCTGGTAGAGGCAGAGTCACTAACCAGTGCCAAGCACCACCACTTGGCCAGGATATGACAGGGGCTGAATTGGTGGTGATGAGGCCTCTGGAAGAAGCTGATGCCTCCCCACCTGGAAATACCAAAAGGCCAAGGCAGGGAGAGGAATCATTGAAATCTGTGGGCACCAAGATCCAACCACCAACAGAAAGAACCATCCAACAGCTGGTGGAAGAAAAAGGATCCAGGCTGACCTGCCACAGGGGAGAGTGGCCAGACGGAAGTCAGTGCCCAGGTGTCTTTGTAGGGGCTGCCCCTGCCACTGTGAGCCCAGAAGAAGCCATCATACACTCTAGGCATAATACCCACATGGCCATGGGAGACTGTGCAGAGAGGACTGTGTCTCAGGCCCAGAGCAAGAAAGGTCCCCTTGATCTAGACTCAGCAGAGAGGGATGCCAGCCCTTGGCTCCCCTTCCAGCGACTTGACAGTCTGGAGGAGACGCTCCAGGAGCTGGAGGCTACACTGAATGCGATGGGCAAGGCCCCTTCGGCACCCCCCATTGGCACCCTCTCTGGGACCTTGTCCCAGTCCCCAAGTTCCCAGGTGGCTGTTCTATCCTGTATCCTCTCCCACTTCCACACATTTCTCCCTTCTGTCCTTCTGAGTTGTGGGAAGTGGGGAGGATGGAGGAGAGCTGAGTCCCATCTCTACCTGCCCTGGGACCTCTTTCTGCTCCATGCCCTGTGACTATAGTGAGTCAGAGGCTGGATGCCTAGGGTGGACGGTGTCCAGGTGAGGCTGGGAAGCTGGCTCACCTGAGCTCTTGGCCAGCTCTTTTCCTGGCTTCTGCACTGGGATGAGAGGAGGGTGTGAAGAAGATGCACTTGTGACCACCCCCCAGTCCACCACCCATCCTCCACCCCCTGCTTTGTATCCACAAGTCAACAAATAAAGATACTGTCCCCCTCCTCCCTACCCCTGTTCCCACCACTTATGTCTCTGACTCTTTCTCTGTCTCTTGAATTATCTTTGCCTGCGTCTCTCCCTTCCAGCCTCTTGGTATTTCTCCTCTTTGGGTAGGACCAGGGCCTGGTGTTTGAGTGGGTCTGCTGCCATCCACCATTCTCAGAGCCCCCACTCATGGTTGGAAGGAAAGATCAAGGCCCATTAACTGAAAAAGAGAGGAGAACCTGGCCCCTGAGCATGTAGCAGTGTAGTATGGAGGACAATGAGTTAGCAACATCAGGAGACTGAGGTTCTTAACCCTCTCTGGGCCTCAGTTTCCTGTCTCTGCAAAATGGGAGCATTATACCAATAGGAGATGGTTTTCAAAATCCCTGGCAGCAGTGCTCTGGTACTGGTACTGGGCTCTTTGCCTAGGTGTGGATATCATAGGATCAGAGAGGTCATTGTAATCCAGTCCTCTCCTGTTGCAAATATAGTGCCATCTCTGTCCTACTCTGCTGTGGTCAACATTGCCAGTGATATCCCTCTTTGAGGTGACCTGGGAAGGCCACCTTCCTAGAGCTATTGGCACCTCCCATGAGAGGGAGGCAGGGGAACCCCAGAAGAACCGTTCATCCTCTCAAGCTTGTTTGTTATTCAGTCATTTTTTTAGTTGTGTCCAACTTGGGGTGACCCCATTTGGGGTTCTCTTGGCAAAGATATTGGAGTGGTTTGTCACTTCCTTCTCCGGCTCATTTTACAGGTGAGGAAACTGAGGCAAACAAGGTTAAGTGAATCGCCCAGGGTCACACAGCTAGGAAGGGTCTGAGGTTGGATTTGAACTCAGGAAGATGAGTCTTCCTGACTCCAGGCCCTGCATTCTATCCACTCCCCTACTTTGCCTCGATGCCCCACACCCTCTCAAGCAAAGGTTCTTAATTTAGGGTCCACAGAGTCATAAACTTGAAGAATGGGGGGGGGGTTGCGTCTTTATTTTCATTGACCTCTAACTAAAATTTTGTATTTCTTTCAGTTAAAAACATTGTTCTGAGAAAGGGTCCCTAGGCTTCACCAGCCTGCCAGAGGAGTCCATGACACCCATAGAAAAGGTTACAAACCCCTGTTCTAGAAGATTGAGGAGGCTGATACCTGCTGAGATCAATGCCCATTTTGTCTGCTTAGCTCTGACTAAAGGAGTGAAGAATTGGCCAGGGAGCATATTTCCGTTTTTGCTGAGACATCCTATAGATAGGGCCCCAGGCCCAGAGAGACAAGAAAGGTGTCAGAGAATTCCCAAAGAGGGGGCCCTAGGCCCAGATAGGGTCCTGCCAGAATAGCTCCAGAGAGAGGAAGGAGAGAGGCCAGCCAAGCCCAGCCCAAATCCCCTTCTTTCTAGGACTTTCTCCAACTTTCACCCGGTTTCTGCCCCCCACAGAGCGGCGGGGTCTCCATCCCACCTATGAAGATGGTGACGCCAGGGGCATCCAGGCTGAAGCCAGGACAGGCAAGCAGCCCTGACAAAGCCAAGCACAGCAAACAACGGTCAGAGTACATGAGGATCCAGGGCCAGCAGCAGGTATGAGGGTGGGGCCCTGCCCACTTCTGGGTGGGGGGCCCCAGCCCCTTGGTGCCCACCCTGCCAGTCCTCCTGAAAAACCCCTGAAGGAGGGAGGCTGCCCCCCCCATTCCCTGCAGTTCTCTCCACTCCAACTGAAGGGCATCTGTCCTCTCCTGCGCCCTCATCACTCCCACCAAAGTGAAGGTTGCAGTGTCCTTCCTGGAGCCCATATGTAAGCTGGGGTAGTAACCGACCTTGCACCCCTGGCCCTCCATCTTCCTTTCACCTCTTTCCCTTCCTGCTGTCCCATCATTTCCCATCGCTGACCTTCTGCTAGCTCCAATCCCCTTTCCTCCACTCCTCCCCCACCCCTGCTCTTCATGACACCCTTCCTTAACCCCATGCCTCTCACCCCCAGGAGCCTTCTATGAGAATAAAAGAAGCACCCTCCTAGAGGTGGGGAAATGACCTAATTGTAACTAACTGACTTAGTGCTTTAAGCTTTTTGCAAAATGCTTCACAAATCTCATAAAGACCTCACATTAGCCTTATGAGATAGCTACTATTATTATGCCCATTTTACAGATAAAAAAACTGAGGTTCATAGCAGTGAAAGGATTTGCTCAGGGAGGGAAGTGCATCATCTAGACAGTAAGCATTAGAGGTAGAATTCAAATTTCCTGACTCCAGGTGCTGCTTTACATCCCTACCCTTGCTGCCTCTAATCTTGTTATGTTTGATGTGAGCTTTAAATTTTCTCTTCTGTGAAATGGGACATGGTCTCTTTAGAAGAGTAGTGAGAAAGTAGCAAGTAAATTTAATTAGAATGAAATTAAGGGGGAAAAAAATCAGTCACTACCTACTTATTAAACTCCACTGCATACAGGGCCCCTGTGATAGGTGCCAAGGGGGGATATGAGGAGCATGAGACCCTGGCCTTGCCCAGGGACTCAGAATCTAGACAAAACAAGGCAGATGCTGTTTATGGCAAAAATATTAACCAGGCTAACTAGTGTATATGATGCGCCCAAAGCTTCGATGGGTGTTACATAAAGCCCTAGTGGTTCTCCACCGGATATGGAATATGGAGTACCTGAATTTGAGTACTAGCCCTGTCACTTGCTATAAAACTTTGAGTGAGTTACTCTGTCTTCCTGAGCCTCAGTTTCCTCTTTTGTAAAATGGAAATAACAATACCTATACTACTTGTCTCATGGGGCTGTTGTGAGGGAAGCATTTTTTGAAATTTAATTTAATTTATTTTTTAGTTACATTTTAAGTTCCAAACTATCTCCCTCTCTCCCTCCCCACCCTGCACCAGAGAAGGCCACCATTTGATGTAAACATATATATATATATACATACACAGATATATGTATATTTATAGATGTAATTTTATTATTTTTTTACATTTTATATCATATTTTTACGTTATTATATTACCTATTACTACATGTTAGAAAGGTCTAGATAAAACTGGAGCTATTATCCCTATGGATCCAGAAGAGGTCAGAGAGAATTTTCATCCAGGAGGCAGGAACTCAAGCTGGCCTTTGCAGAAGATAGATGGGCTTCAAATAAGTGGAGGGGTTGGGGGAGAGTTTTCCAAAGAGGAGGAGGTACAGAATAAGCCAAGGTACCGATGTGAAAGAGGAAATGTCACTTAGGCTCAAACCCCTAGAATCATCCTTTACATACCACACCCTGCCTCTATCAAAACGCTTCCAGTCATTCAGTTATTTGTTGTGATCAGTTGTAAAGTCTTGCCGATTCACTCTCTTTAATGTCTCTTAGTCATCCTCTCCTCTGTACTCTTAATGCCTTGGTTTAGATTTTGGTTACCTTCTGCCTAGACCACATACAACAGTGGCCTTCTCACTGGTCTTCCTTCCTCTATCCCCTACCTCTTTCTAATCCATCCTGAATTTCATTGCCAGATTAATCTTCCTCATTCACACTTATGAAACCTTTTAGTTGTGAAGCCTTCACTGCCTCCCCATTGCCTGATCATTGAAGGACCATTTAGGACCACATATCCTAAAGTCCAAATATTAAGAGCCCCTGTAGTCTGGCTCCTACTAAACCTTTAACCGACTCATTGTTTCCTCCTTCCCTGCCAAACCTTCGTTTCAGCCTAGTTGCTGTCCTCTAAACATGCCTCATTTTCCCACCATGTTTCTATGCCAAAGATCACCTCCTCTTCTTTATTCCTATGCCTGGTACTTAACATGGGGCTTTGCATGTTGTAAGTGCTTAATAAATGCTTTTTCATTTATTCATTCATTCTCCCTGCCTAGAATGCTTTCTTTTCCCTCCTAAGTCCTACACTTCTTTCAAAACCCAGCAGAAGCCCCACCTCTTCTCAGAAGGCTTCTCTGGGGGCAGTTGGGTAGCAAAGTGTCCCTGGAGTCAGGATGACCTGATTTCAAATCTGGCCTCAGACACTTACTACCTAGCTGTGTGACCCTGGATAAATCACTTAACCCTGATTGCCTCCAAAATAGAAGAAGGAGAAGGAGGAGAAGAAAAAGAAAAAGAAAAAGATGATGATGATGAAGAAGAAGAAGGAGAAAATGATTATGAAGAAGATAATGATGAAGAGGAAGAAGATGATTATGATGATGAAGATGAAGATGATGAAGATGATGATGAAGAAGATGATGAAGAAGATGATAAAGAAGATGATAAAGAAGAAGATGATGATGAAGAAGAAGATGATGATGCAAAGAAGAAGATGATGAAGAAGAAGAAGATGATGATGATGAAGAAAAAGAAGATGATGGCTTCTCTGAAGCTCCACCAGAGTTCTCCTTGAATTCTTCCTCCTCTGAACTTCTCAAGCAAGTGCTTATTCCCATTCTTAGGGTCCTTGACATGAACTGGAACCTATGCTTGTCCTATTTTACCTATGTATCTTGTTTCTGTAATTACATCATAATGCCTTTGGTGAAAGTGACTTTATATCACCAGCATACCCTGCACAAAAGACACTCAGAAAATAACTGTTGATAGTAGGACAATTAGGTGGCTTAGTGAATAGAGCCCTGGACTTTGAATCTGGAAGACCTAATTTCAAATCCAACCTCAGACACTTGCTGGCCATATGACCCGATATAAGTCACTTAAACTTTCTCAGGCTCAGTTTCTTCATCTATAAAGTGGGGACAATAATAGTACCTACCTCACAGAATTGTTGCCAAATTCATGTGAAATAACATTTATATAGAGCTTTGCAAATTTTAAAGTTCTAAAAATAATGCTCCTTGTTATCATTAATCATAATGAGAAATAGCAGAAGAGGTCAGAGATGTAACAGAACTAGTGAAATGTATTATCAAGGAGATAGTGTTAAGGAAGGAGAGGAGGAGGTCAGCAATGCCAGATGCTGCTGAGAAATCATGCAGAATGAAGACAGAGGAAAGGCCATTGGGTTCAGTAGTTGGGAGGTCAGTAGCCTTAGAGCAGACTGAATAGCATGGTGGGGATTGAAAGGACATAAAGGAAAGAGTGAGTTTTGAGGGAGTAGAGGCAGTGAGGGTGGATCATTTATTCTAGAAATTAGGCAAAAAAGAAATGAGAGAGGATGGTAGCTGGAGGGCCCAAAAGCATCAAGTAGAGGTGTGGGGTTTTTTTTTTCCGAGTTGAGGGAGATCTGAACATGCTTTAAGTCAGAGAGGGTAAAGCCAGGAATTCTCAAGGACAGAGAGGGGATGGCCAAGGGCCCACACTTGAAACATTATAAAGGAGCCTAGATTATATTTGTGGAAATGGGGGTGGAGAAAAGAGAACACAAATGAGTCGGAGACATGTTTTGAAAGAAGAAATAAGCCTTAGAGACATTTGGGTGAGTCAGAGAGAGGTAAAAAAAATGAGTTGGAAACAGGAAAACAGGGATGCTGTTGAACAAAAGAGGAAAGTCGGGATGAGAGACTGGTGTGGAGTAGGGGGAAATGTTGTTTGTTTTTAAATATTTGTTTTGACAGAGAAGGTTGACAGATGAATGATGACCCCTGTCTTATCCCAGGCTAAAGAGAGGCATCATGTGCAGTAGACAGCCTGCTAAACTTGGGGCCACTGAGTTTGAATCTTGGCTTGACCATTTACCACCTTTGTTGTTGTTCAGTCATGTCTGACTCTTTGTGACCCCATTTGGGGTTTTCTTGGTAAAGATACTGGAGTGGTTTGCCATTTCCTTCTCCAGCTCATTTTATAGATGAGGAAACTGAGCCCAACAGGCTTAAGTGACTTGCCCAGGGTTGCACAACTAGTAAGTGTCTGAGGCCAGATTTGGACTCAAGTCCTCCTGACTCCAGGCCTGGTCCTCTATCCCCTGCACCACCTAGCTGCTCCTCCCTCTCCCTCCCCAGCAAAAGTCCAACATAGAGTTTTTACAAAAGAAACAGGTATGATAGATAGGAATGACTTTGTATCCCAAGAAAACATAAAAATCCAAGAACCAGAGGGTGGAACATCACCCAAGTGTTTGGGATGTTGAAGAAGAGACATAGATATGAGATATAGTATATCTCTTATACTAGAAACTGTCTAATGGGAAGAGATTGTTGATGAGTTCCCAATACAGGCTGGGCAAATGCCACAGAGGCAAATATCAGTACTGCTGGGAGACTTCTGCTATCTACACTCCCCCTGATGACTTCACTCTTCTGATAGCATAAACTTTCCTCTTGATAAACTTTCCTCTAATCTCTGTCTTTCATCTGCCAGGAAGCTAAGGAAGGGGCCATAGGGATTGCTACTCTAGGCTGAATTTGAACCATTCTCACTGCCAGCCTAGAGGAGCTGGTTGGTGATGTGGAAGCAACCAAAATCTTGGGAGATAGCTACCAAAGAGGATCTACATCTGTGGGTATTGAAAGAATAGGAGGACGTAAAAGGCAACTAGATGGCACAGTGGAGAGAACACTGGACTTTTAATCAGGAAGACCTGAATTCAAATCTAGCCTTACATGCTTACTAGTTGCATGACCTTGGGCAAGTTACTCCATAACACCTACCTT